TCCTCCCCGTCAGGAGCCGGGGCCGCGTCGTGCCGGGGAAGAGAAGGGAAGGGAAGGGGAGGCGGCCAGGCCGGGCCGGGCCGCCCCTGGGGCCGCTGTCGAACGAGGGGCTGCGGCCTGGCAGAGCGGAGCCAGCAGCCCCGGGCCGGCCCCGCCAGGCGGGAGTCACCGCGCGCTGGCCACCCCCAGGGCAGCTCCTGTGCTGTGCAAGGCTCTGTGTCCTTAGGCTGTGAGGAGAAAAAAATCCCTTTAGGCAGATTAAAACTGTCTATTTTATTGTCTTCTGCCTGTTTTAAAACGCGATAAATCTAAAGAGAGGTAATAACTAATAACCAGGTGTAGTATGTGAGATAGTACATAACAACTGTTGCTCTCCATGCCCTTAGAAATGCAGTAAGTTAGAGGTAGATCTAAATAAACAGTCTTCTTCCTTTGGATTAGCTAGAAGAAAACTGTTATTTTCTCTCCTGTTCAGAATAGTTTTTCAGAAGATCAAACCCTCCGAGAGACAAAAATGACCTCAATTATCAAGCTAACCACGCTTTGCGGCGTGCAGGAGGAGTCTGCCCTGTGCTATCTATTGCAAGTGGATGAGTTTCGCTTTCTGTTGGACTGTGGCTGGGATGAAAACTTTTCTATGGATATTATTGATTCGCTAAGAAAGTAAGTAGTGGGTGGGTTTTTTTTTTTTTTGCAAGTATTTTTCTGAAGTTTTTTGAAGGCTACTTGGTTTTATATATATGATACTGTTAAATCCCAAAGGAGTTCTTTTTACTTGAGAATATGGTGTAATTTTAAATGAATGACTGATAACATATTTCCAGTAAAAAAGAAAGAGTTTTCTTGTGAGCTAACAAGTCATGTCTAGTTATTCAAGTTCTCAAACTTTTGATTTTGTTTTGGTTTAGATGTGTCATTTTTTTTTCATAAGTAAAACACTGAACAGAGCCTTTGGGAAACAAAGCTTGACTCTAAACTGATACAGAGTGGCTAACCAAGTTTAAATCTCTTTGCATTAAAAAAAAATAAGTTTAAGTGGTTTGGCCTTTGCCTTCTGTTTCAGGTGTAATGGATAGTCAGAGAAGAGCTTGTGTTAGTGTTCCCTGGCTTGCAGAGAAATAAACACATCTAGAGTTTTGTACTGAGCTTCTGCAGGTTTACAGTGGGGAATTCTCCTGATGCACATGTTGATTGCAGAATTAAGCCTGAAACACAGAAATTCCTGAAAGAAACCAAGCCTTCTAATGTTTTTTTTTTAGACTTACTTTTCTTGGCATTGACATACTTGTCTTTTAACTGAGGATTATCCTGTACTAAGGATAACTTCTAAAGTTTTGTTAAGTGATTTACCTTAGAAGCAATTAAACCAAATCTCCTTTGCAGGAAGAATGTCCCTCAAGAATGGTGTGTGCTTCTGTGGCTAGTTAGGGGATTCAAATGCTACGCAGTGAAACTTGAATTGATTCAGATGAAGGAAACAGTTTGATTTTATCTGCATCAGTTGAAGATTCGTAAAGTTCTGAGTCCTTTTCCTTCGTGCTGCTCATCTGAATAACAGCTGTAGTCTGTTTTGGATTAATGTATAACCAGTTTTTGATGTGCAAACAATTTGTAATATGCCTTTGCACTGGAAATATTTTGGCCTTTCAGTTATTGTACCTCCTAGTGTTGATATATCCAGAATTTTCTTTCAAGAGTTCCTATGTGACCCGGGCTTGAAGTTACATTTTCAGGATGCATATTTAAGTTCTAGAGTTACCTGAATGACTGCAAATATTTGTAAGCTATTTAATTATGACAATATTTTATTCTTGATATAGAGGGATTTATATTTTCTCATTTGACATGCAGATTGTGCACTTATTTTCAAAATGGCTGTAATAGGGAGTATAGGATACAGTGCAGACCATCTTTTCACTACCTCCTTTTGTTGTCTTGTTTGTTTTGTTTTTGTAGACATGTACACCAGGTTGATGCTGTTCTTCTTTCTCATCCTGACCCCTTACATCTTGGTGCACTTCCATATGCAGTTGGAAAAATGGGCTTAAACTGTGCCATTTATGCAACTATTCCCGTATATAAAATGGGACAGATGTTTATGTATGATCTCTATCAGGTATGTTTAAATTGATATTTTCAGGTACACTCTGATATGATAGAAGGATCAGCTTCTTGAATATCCTTGGTTTTTAATTTGTTTTAGTCCCGCCATAATACAGAAGACTTCACTCTCTTTACATTGGATGATGTAGATGCAGCCTTTGACAAAATACAACAGCTCAAGTTTTCTCAGATTGTCAACTTGAAAGGTAAAACTTTTCTGTCAGCAAAGATTTCAATAAATGTCTCATCTTTTAATGACTCAATTGCCTTTCACTACAAATTAAGGTAACTTTTTAGGAAGGAGTGGGTGTCTGAATGTGCATTCATGCCTTGGACACAGCCCTCTGAAGTAGGCCTGTGTTGCTCTGTATCACCTGAAGATCTGCCTCAGTATTTGTATTTGGAAATGGGTAGAATTTCCTCTTAAATTAGTGAGAAGATGACTATGCCATTTTATATGGCATAGTATAGAGAAGACTATGCTCTTTTGTGTTTTTCTAAATTTTCTTGGAATTTGCTTATGTCTTTAAAAGGCATTCACTCATGCCAAGTGGTAGGTACAGCTTTACAAGGTAAAGACTTTCTGGAAGATGAATAGGTGGCCCACTTGAAGTTGTAGTGTCCAGGAGGTTTAACAAGGAGATCTTGGCAGACTTTGTATGGTACTGAGTATGGCTTAATGTTGAGAACTGTGACATTCTGAGAATCAGCTGCTTCTTGCTCTTGCTGTGTTTAAAGATCCAAATGAAATGGAAGTCCTGGTCTTGCACAAAGATTCATATAGCCTAATTGCCAGCAGCTTGTTGGAATTGTGTCATCTCCCAGTTCCTGAATGTTGCTTGCCAAAATACTTACCCTATAGTCTGGAAAGAAAAAACAGAAATTGGGAAGTAATCATTAGAAGGCTGCCAACCCTTTCTACAGATATTAACTTTAAGGCTCTGTCCATGCTGCTAGTTTTTTCAGTCGGTAAGGGATTTAGCGAACTACTATTCTATAACACCTCACTCCTTCCATATTTAATTGAAGTGACTCAAAAAGACTTGATAAATTATCAAGGAAGGTAATATGTGTTTTATTTTTTGCCAAAGCTGTGTGCATCTTTGCACGCTGGTAGAATATAGCAATGGCAGTGAGCATGTCATGAATGGTCTAGTTTGATGCTGCCAAAGAGCTAGATTAGCACTAATGACAAGGAGCAACGGTGCTTTAAAAGAAGTCACCAAGTGCTGAAAGCCTTGTTATTCCTGATTTGTGCTGCAGCTTGTCACAGGCACCCTCCCTCGAACCCTTTGCAGCTTGTGTGTTGTTCAGGTGAATTTTCAGTCTAATTTGCATGTGTTTTTGTAAGTACCTGGGCCATGAGTGATATAGTAGATATTCTAGACTGTACAGAAGAGGCCTGATCCTCAGTAGTGCCATTGCCTTGGTATTTTATGCTTGTTATGTAACGTGCTATTGCTTAGCTGCATAGTTACAGCAGCTAGAATGCTCTAGCTCTGTGAACTGTTGAAGCAGGGGAGAAAAGTGATTTTTGCTTTAGTTTCTTTTCCTGATGGCAGCGTAAAAGTGAATTGCAAAACAAGTTTTAACTTTATGAAGTTATTGATTAGATGGGGAGGAGGGATAGACCACTGATTTTCATAATTCACTTGACTTTTTTTTTTCCCAGTAACTTCGGCATTCAGTTTTTTAAATTACTGTCTTGTATTTAGAATAATGAATTTTAACACATATGATATATGTGAAACACTGAAAGCTTTTAAAATGACTTTTCTTTGTAGGCAAAGGCCATGGTCTGTCAATCACACCATTGCCAGCTGGTCACATGATAGGAGGCACAATCTGGAAGATTGTCAAAGATGGAGAGGAAGAAATTGTTTATGCAGTTGATTTCAACCACAAGAGGGAGATGTATGTTCAAAATAGTAAAGTACCTGTCTTGCCTATTTTGTTAGGTGTGCATACTCAGTGCATGATAGTTTTGGAAGTAGCAGTGTTTTTCAGGCATCTTAAGACCACCACTTCCTATTTTTGTTCAGCCTAATAAATTTGAAACACATCAGCTTTGGGTTTATTCATTCCCCTCCGATTTATTTATTTGTAGGTTTGAAGCAGGATACATTTGTTCTTGCAATTTAAAAAACAAAAATTCACCTTTTAAACAAAGGAAACAGCAATATGGAAGTTTTTTGCTGTGTATAAAAAAAATATTACTTATTTTTTGCCTTCCCAGGAACTATTTTGCTTTAGAAGGGGTGAAGAGGAACTTAAGTTGAATTTTAAGATACTTGATGTAGATGGTTTTGAATTCAAATCAGATCAATGTATCATAATTACATTTAATTGTGGGTAACACATTGTGGGACACAATGTTTACCTTTTAGGAAAAAATCCCGGGGAATGTAAAACATGTAATATTTTCGATAGACAAAATCGTCTACAGAACTACCTAGTACTTAGATCAGGGAAGCTCTTTGTTTTTATTTATTTATTTATTTATTAAGGAGGGGAGAAATGCACCTTAGACATGATTTGCATGAAACATCTCATGCCTTACTTACGTTACTTATTTAACGTATTTAAGAAGTAAATGGTAAATGACATTTTTCAGATTAACATTAATACATTTTTTATGAAGCTAGATTTAAGATTAAAAAAGCTTTCTGTGAATGCGTAGAAAGGTAGAAAAAAAAAAAACGGAAACCATCACTGTTCTTTCTTGTATTTGGTTTAACAAAGATGGTATCTGTTATGTATTCTTTCCAATTACATATTTAATTAGACTTTGACTTTTCTTGAACATCCTCTATTCTTGATCTGAAGTCTTTTCTTTAAGTATTTCTTTCCTTCATTTACAAGCAAGACTCTTCAGCAATTGCATGTGATTTCTGTACATGTAAACATCTAGAAGTTAACTTTCCAGTTGCCTTATAAAATGCAAAAAAGTGAGATTTGGTTTTTTTCACAGCCACCTGAATGGATGTTCCTTGGAAATGTTGAGCAGACCTTCATTGCTTATTACAGATTCATTTAATGCCACTTACGTTCAGCCCAGGAGGAAGCAAAGAGATGAACAGTTACTGAGTATGTATTCTCTTTGGGGTTTAAAAATGTCAATAACATGCTTGGTTAGCCTTCATAATTTTTTTCCCTATAATCAGTTTCTTAGCATCCAAATTAAGGTTCTTCATTAAAATTTAACCTTGAGTTATTCTTTTCTTACAGTACTAATTCCATGGTAATGTAAAATGCTTTCCTAAAAACAATGATTTGCATCATGTTTTTAACTTTATTTGAAAACATTGTATTTTGGTGTAGTCCTGCTTGATCTCTTGAGAGATTTTAAAATGACTTTTTTTCATCGTTATTAAAAATCAGGAAAACAGTTGTGGGTTTTTTTGTTTGTTTGTTTTGTTTTTTTTTTTTTTAAAGCAGTATTGCTGCTCTGAGACCTAAAGTTTAATATATTTCTGAGTCCAGTTTGCTTTTGACTGTGGTTGCTATTGGATTGTAGCAAAACGCCATGTTTTTATTATGTTTCAAAGTAAAAGGTCTATTTTTTGTTTGTTTGTTTTCCCTTTTTAGCTAATGTTTTGGAGACATTACGAGGTGATGGAAATGTATTAATAGCTGTGGACACAGCAGGCAGAGTTCTGGAGCTTGCTCAACTTCTTGATCAGATATGGAGAACAAAAGATGCAGGATTAGGAGTCTACTCACTAGCACTTTTGAATAATGTCAGCTACAATGTAGTGGAATTTTCTAAATCACAGGTTAGTTTTATTTATTTTTTTGACCAAGTATCTGGTTTAGTGTTTCTATCTTGAGTGTATATATGGGTGTTCATCTTTAGATCAAGTAGCCCGAAGTCAAAGCATGGCTTTGGACATGCTTCTCCAGATTGATTTCTCTTTTTGTTTCATCATGAGCTTTGTCAACATAACTACAGATGTTAAAAGAAGCAGCACAGAAATCAGTACCTTGTTTATACTTTCTCAGTATGTCAGAAACGTTAATGTAAACATGTACATATTGCCTTGTACTTAATACTGGGTTTGTGCATCAGTTTAGAGTTTATATTCCTATAGCTAACTTTTTTTAATACATTTTAGGTTGAATGGATGAGTGACAAACTGATGAGGTGCTTTGAAGACAAGCGAAACAATCCCTTTCAGTTCCGCCACCTCTCTTTATGTCACAGCCTGTCTGATTTGGCTCGAGTGCCTAGTCCAAAAGTTGTCCTTGCTAGTCAACCTGATTTAGAGTGTGGCTTTTCTAGAGATCTCTTCATTCAGTGGTGCCAGGATTCTAAAAACTCTATTATTTTAACTTATCGCACTACACCTGGAACATTAGCACGGTTTCTGATTGATAATCCTTCTGAAAAAGTTATAGACATTGAGGTAAGAATTCTCTTTTTAACTCAGACTTTTTGATGTGGACAATCTGGGGGGAATATGATTAAAAGTGAATTTAGTTTTATTTTTGGCCTGCTGAAAATGCTTCCAGTGGCAAATGGGCATCTTAAATCAATACTTTGTGTATTCAGTTGTGGATACATTTGTGTAGAAATAGTACTTACATTAAGCAACTTGTAAAATGTTTTTTGGTGACGTGGCAGAATCAATACTCCAAATTCCTGCCCATCTCAGTGTCTTAAAATACTTTGTTCTAAGAGAACACTTTTGTGTTTTTTGTTATAATAGAAAGAGCTCCCTTTGCAGTTGATGTGCAGATAACACTCTATGATGATTCTAGCTGGAAAATCATCTGTTTTCTATGTTGAGGGGAGAATCAAAGCGAGAGTAGAATATATTCCACCAGAATTAGAAAAATAAGTGAAAGCTAGAAGCTGAAAGAATAGAGATAGCATGACTAACACTTAATTTTTCAGAATATTTTAAGTTAAAATTCCTGTACCTACTTATGTCTGATACCCCGTGTTAATCTATGGGAGTGTGTAGCTTTTTGGTTACAGTGGTGACTTCATTCCGGATAATGCAGTTTTTTTATTTTGCAGTAAAAGCCTAAGATTACAATGAACATATTCTTACTGGAATTCAGCAACATCCATAGTGATCTAGTCTGTAATCCAATTTGGAGTAAATAAGCAGCAAAACTTACTATTGCTTTGTCTTCTAGTCTATACGTTGCCAAGCTGTTTTTGTTTGATTAGTGACACAATCAGAGTGTGAAAGCACTGCTTATCTGAGTGTGCAACTTCAGCTTTTCTGTTTTAAATTATTGAAACAGAGATGATTCCTGAAGAGTTCGTTTGAGGGATTTTTGTAAATTGCTTGATTTTAATATTTTTAGCATTCTATTTTTTTCCTGAGGAAGTCTCTACGATTTTTGAAGGTTATCATGGTGTTGCCATGCCAAAGTGCATAAGTGTGAATAATCTTGTATGTGAAAAACATGCACTTGCACTTGGTACTTACTTTTCCTATGCACAGCTGATAAGGTATTACAGCTGTATCACTTAAAAGACTATTATTTTTCACTCTGTAGTTGAGGAAACGTGTCAAATTGGAAGGAAAAGAACTTGAAGAGTACCTAGAAAAGGAGAAACTAAAGAAGGAAGCAGCTAAGAAGTTGGAGCAGTCTAAAGAGTAAGTATGCTGCCTACTGCTGCATTCTGCTTTTGTTATCAGAATTAGGATTTCTGTGTAATCAACATGCTGAGTCAACTATAGACGGGGATAAATACAAATGATAGTTTTGAAAGGCTCATCTGAGAGCATTCAGGAGTTTTGGATGATTGACTTAAACTAGTTGCTATGACAAACCAGTCTGTTTTGTCTGCAGTTTGAGGATTTTCTCAGGTATATAAACAGTCCTCATGTTACTAAAAACATCTGGTGATCGGTGGATTGTTATTTCCCATTCAGTGTGTTTATGTAATATTAAGCACAAAAAGAAAAAATAAAATGCTTTTTTATGTCATTTCAGGGCAGATATAGATTCCAGCGATGAGAGTGATGCTGAAGAGGACATTGATCAGCCAACTGTGCATAAGGCCAAACATGATTTGATGATGAAAGGTGAAGGTAACCGGAAAGGAAGTTTCTTCAAACAGGCAAAGAAATCTTATCCCATGTTTCCAGCTCCTGAGGAAAGAATTAAATGGGACGAATATGGAGAGATTATCAAGTATGTGGGGGAAAAAACAGTAATGTTTACTAACATAGAGTAGTTATAAAATAGTTCAAAAGTGAAAACTTGAAAAAATCAGTATTATCTCTGCTTTGCAAAACTATTACTCGCTCTTACAACGTCATAACTGAAAAGGGAGTTTGCACTAAGTTTCATGGGAGGCTTGTGATAGAATTGAAACTGCACAGTGCTGGTCCTTGGTCTTTTTAAAATATGCTCCACTTACAGGCAGTCATTGGTTTTTATTTTACAAGGGAGAAGGTAAAAATACTCTTTTGAACTTAGTTTATTCTTGTTTTTGTTATGAATTTATGATTTTTTTTTCGTAATTATAAGAGGAAGAAACCTAACTTATCCTAGGAAAAATTAGCAATATTTGCCCTATTTGGTATGAAATGCTTGCTAAAATCCTTCTATTTACTAGTATTCTACAAGGTACTGGTATTCTAAGATATCAAGTACTCCTTTCCAAGTGAGCTCTATTTATATGAATATAGTGAAGGCATGTGCAATAATACTACTGGCACTGATTCCTAAAGCAGCTCAGTAGTAATACAGTAGGCGTTGATTCTATAATATGTAGTCCTTGGGTGCTAATGTAAGACAATTCAAAAACAAAACACTTTTTATCCTTTAGACCCGAGGATTTTCTGGTTCCAGAACTTCAAGCAACAGAAGAAGAAAAAAGCAAATTAGAGTCTGGTTTGACAAACGGAGATGAGCCTATGGACCAGGATTTGTCAGATGTTCCTACCAAATGTATTTCAGCAACAGAGTCCATGGAAATCAAGTGAGTGGCTTTGTTCTTTGTTTAGATAACCTCATAGTTAAGAGGGTGCTGATGAGAAGGCAGGTGCAGTGGAACCAGCATTCAGTTGTTTTGTCTCTCTTTCAGTGTCAGTCCCCAGTTTTTTAGACATTCCGTGTGTGGAGTGTGTCGTGTAATATAAGGTTTACTTACTTGAAGATATTTGTTGCGCAGAACTTGTGATTTTGCAGAGTGATAGAGCAGTGTACTGATCGCAATGCAAGTGTTGGTTATGCTTAGCAAAATACAGTAGTTTCAATATGCAGTTCAATCATGCAGTTCAATCATTTTAAATATCTCAAAGTAACTCCAACTTGTTAAACTATCTTTTTTTGAATTCTAACTAGAGCTAGAGTTACCTATATCGACTATGAAGGACGTTCAGATGGTGACTCAATAAAAAAAATTATTAACCAAATGAAACCAAGACAACTGATTATTGTCCATGGACCACCTGAAGCCAGTCAGGACCTTGCAGAGTGTTGCAGAGCTTTTGGTGGAAAAGATATTAAAGTTTACATGCCCAAACTACATGAAACTGTAGATGCAACTAGTGAAACTCACATCTACCAGGTAATATATTAGAAACATTTACTTGTGTAAAAGTGTATGGGAATGTCAGTTTGCTTTACTGAATTTTTAATAGCTTTCTAATGCTTGTATTTGAAGCACGCTGTATGCTAACTGCATTTCAAGGGTGCTTTTGGAATCTCAAGAAGAGCCATTCTCAAAACAGCAGTGTTTTCTGTGTGCATTTTTTTTTGGATGTGAACTTTTGATTTATTAGAAATAACAGGGTTCTGATTTTTCGCAAAACACTTCTCAACAGATTTTTAATAGGTAGTCTCCTCTTTACATATTTATCTTCTGCATAGAATTAGTTTATTCTGCTTGATGTCTATATATATATAGATATGTAGTTTCTGAAAGGATGAAGTAGCTTGGAGACACTGAATTAGGAAAAAGTGTGGGGCATCAGAAATGTCGGTGTCTTCTGGGTGGGCTGTGCAGCAAGCGTATAAACTGCGGCGTCCTTTATACAGTTGCAGCCCTTATGGTGCTGTTGCAATCCCACAGTCTCATGTGGGTAATGTTCTTGCAGAGTAGGGCTTTATGGAATGGGTTAAAATCTTAGTATTTGCTAGGTAAGGCAGGGTTAACTAATGTGTTAGTCACAGTCTGTTTTTTACAAAATCCCTTCTTGCAATAAAATATGAATTACCACTTGCATATAGGTTTGGAGTTTAGAGTTGCTGTTCGCTGTTCAGAAAAGCTTCCCTTAGACTTACAAAGGCTGACTGAGGAACTACTTGGCCACAAGAAAAATATTTTTGATCATTTTAAAGACGATTGCTCTCACTGTAAGTTTAACTTGATCTTGTAGTCATGAAAGCTCGTTTTATTTAAGTAGCATCAAAAAAGTTACTCTTTCAAGTAGCAAGATGAGGGCTGTCCATATCATAATTTGTATGCATTTAACATCTTTCCTTGGTGATACTAATTCCCTCCTTTCCCTCACTAAAGGACTATCAACTAAAGGTGTACAGGGAGACATTGAGAGGAAAACTGTTTATTTCTAAAGTCTGGATTAAGGACTCTGTGAAATGTCTGTTGCATTTTCTGTGAAGTCAATAGTGTTTTTACTTTTTTTCTATCCAGGTCAGGTTAAAAGATTCTCTCGTCAGCTCCCTTCAGTTCTGCAAAGCCAAAGATGCAGAGCTGGCTTGGATAGATGGTGTCTTGGACATGCGAGTTTCCAAAGTGGACACTGGAGTTATTTTGGAAGAGGGAGAGCTGAGGGAAGATGAAGACTTAGAGATGCAGGTGGACATGCCTTCTTCAGATTCCAGTGTCATTGCACAGCAAAAGGCCATGAAAAGCCTGTTTGGGGATGATGATAAGGAATTGTGTGAGGAGAGTGAGATCATTCCTACTTTGGAACCTTTGCCACCTCATGAGGTACAGAAACTTCACTGGCTTGGATTTTTTTTTTTTTGACTTCTGTGTTCACATGTCTTTTTGTAGTGCTTAGAGCTTGATATTGTTTTTACTGAAATAAGAGTTGTCCTGAAACTTTTTTTTTTATTTAAAGATGCCACTGTTCTTAGTCCAAACTTTAAGCTTTTTATGGTGATGGTTTGAGAAACATCTTTGAGAAAAAACATCTTTCCCATCTTTGAGAAACATGTGTATCTGTTTCTGTAGTGCTTTCCAAGCTGTAGTGGCTTGGGAGTTCATTCCTTTAATCATTTCCATCTTTATGCTTAAATGAAAATACTGTGCATGTGTGAGTATAATAAAATGCCTCCTCATCTTGCTTACTCTTAATTGTAGCCTGTTTTAGCAGCTTGATAAACTTGAGAGCTGTAAAGGCTGCTCTGATGTAGGACAAGTGTCCTAGCAATATGTACTGCTAGCAACACTGTTTGCTGCAGCTCTGTCCCTGTGTCTGTTGTAGCTCACAGGAGGGATCTTCAGGGACAGCTTTGTATTTGTCTTCAGTATGAACACAGGAGAAAACCTTTCTCTTGCTTAATGGCTTCTAAGGCCTTCCTATTCTGCAAAGATGTTGCTGCAAGTGAAAGGGAACTAATTTTCTAGCTTATGGCCCTGTAGCCTGTCCATGGACTATGTAGTTGCTAATTGAATAATCAGATCTAGAGAAGTGTAAGGTTGTAGCAGAGTACTTAAAATCGTGTGCCTTGTTTCAAGGTTCTCGGTCATCAGTCTGTGTTTATGAACGAGCCAAGGCTGTCTGACTTCAAGCAAGTTCTTCTGCGGGAAGGTATTCAGGCCGAGTTTGTAGGAGGGGTGCTCGTGTGCAACAACCTGGTGGCTGTTCGCAGGGTAGGTGTTCTGTGTCTTAAACTCTTCAGTGAATAATTCATTGCATAGGAATGAAAATTAAGCATCTCATTAACATAACCAATTGAAATTTGTCTTTCGTTTCAGACTGAAACAGGACGCATTGGATTGGAAGGCTGCCTCTGTCAGGACTTCTATAGGATAAGAGACCTTTTATATGAGCAATATGCTATTGTCTAAAGGAAGTGCTGCAAAAATATCTTGACTTGAACTTTAAAAGATAATGGGAATTTCTGTCTTCCCAGTTCCGACTTTTTATAGTTTTCTAATTTATACGGGGAAAATAATTCATAATGGACAGTTAACAACCCTGAATATGTAAATAACTGTTGCTCTGCACAAATCTGTAGGTACATTCCATGTTACCGATTTTTGAACAGTTGTTATTTGTCTCCTGCATAATACATTATAACTCAGTTTTCTGCCTTTATCAAATGTTCTTCAAGAAAGGTCCAATTAGGACATATTTTGGCTTGATAGATTCCGTGCTGAAAGAGTATAGAATATATATAAGTCATTCTTCCATCTAAAACAAAATTAGATTGGGAAATGGGTATGGGTTTGGCTGGGGTTTTTTGTTTTGCTTAGAGAGAGTCTCTTCTTTCAAACAGTAGAATTTAGTTAAAGTAAGTTTTTTAATAGATCACTAGAAGCTAGATTACCTAAATTTATTATTAACCTGTGTATTAATCTGTGTGCGTATTAATGTTGCAGCTGCCTCATCATACTGATTTATTCCACAACAGCATTTCTTATGCTGTATGAAATATTAGTCTTAGATTGAGAATGACTTTGAAAAGGTACTCTTATAAAGAGAGAAAACTAGAGAAAATTTTCAAGCAGTTTAAAGTCTAGTAAACGTGTGCTTCGGAGTAACTCAAAAAGCTTATAGAACTTGTCTGCAACAGATAAAAGTTTCTTACGCCAAATTTGTGATCTGCCAACTTCTGATTTTAATTTCAACACCTGCATCTTATCTATTGCTGCCTGTCTTCAGTGTGCAATGAGTTGAGTTCAGGGATATTGTTCATCTTGCAATTTGACTTCATGTGATATGTTTAATGCTTTTTATGCCAGATTTCACATTAGCTGCATGTTTTGACAATGGGATTAAATGTAGTGGCCGATGCGAGGGAGGACTGACTTGTCTTTTTAAGTGAAGATGAGTGCACTTTCGGGTGTCTTGATTTCTCAGAAGGTTGAGGGAATGATATTGATGGAACTTCTGCATACTGATGGCCTCTGGAGAGTCTGTTTAATCCTCTATCCACATCTCCATGTGAACCGCATGCTGGGGAGTGTGTGTGGGGGGTTGTTTGCTTGTTTTTACATAGACCACATATTACATTGCTGTTGTATATGTGTGTGTTTAAAATAAAATCTCTTGACAAGTGGCAAAATATAGCCCTATGGGCTATCAATGGAAAGATACCTCTCCTTGCAACTAATTTTTGGCTATTAGTCCTTTTTATCTCATCTACAGACTATTTATTTTGTTTAGGGTAGTAACTTAAAACTGAAGTCCACATTTGTGGGTGTTTTTTTTTGTTGGTGGTGGTGGGTTTTTTTTTTTTTTTTAGTATCTTGGAACTAGATATTAAAAACAGAACACTTCCAAATGTGATGTTGAGTGAGAATATGTATTTTCTTGCAAAAGCTGTCAGTTAAACAGCTTTACACTTTTGTGTGCAGTTTAAAAGAGTGTTTATTTTCAATTATACTGGCAGCTAGAACTGCTTAGAAATGCTCTGTGTTTTTGTAGCTATTTTGTAGCAATGCTATGTAAATCTACTTGATACTGGATGCTTGTTGGTGAATACCATTGTATTATGTCTGTTTTTGACACAATTGAACTTTTATAAAGTGAGTTATTTTGTACATAATCATATTGGCCTTAACGTTACCTTGGGGCTTGGGCTGGAGGGAGATCACATGTGGCTCTACAGAATGTATTATTAATAAGAAAAAATCCTTAGGAGATCAGACTTTTTAAGAATGTAAGAAAGTACTCTTTTTAAGAACGAAATGTTTTTGATCATGCTGTCTATCTGCATTCTTCTTTTTAATCTTTTAATTCAAATGCAACTAAATAACAGGAGGCTAGTGGTATTGAACACTGAATTCCTGTGTGTCCTGCTGCCATGGGCCCTAAGGTATATTTCCTGACTTAGGTGCTTTCGTCATTAATAGTAAAAATCTTACAGGGAGTATTTTATCCTCAGCTACTTTGCTTTATTACTCTTGAGGGCAAGCATATTAATTTACCATCAAAATGTCTCTGTAAATTACTGACCATTTAAAAATATTTCTTCTCAGATGTCTTCTTCAATAATTCAGTTTCTGAAGGCAGGAAAAGATTAGGAAGACCGAAGACACAGGAAAGGCAGAGGCTGCTTCCTCGGAGGCACTGTTTGTGAGAAAATCTTAATATTTCATTCTTTTCTTGCTGTCCCTCCCTGTCTACTAGATGGAAAGACATATTTCAAAGATTAAGGAAATAAGCAGAACTCATTAAAGGAGGAAGAAAAAAAAAAAAACTAATCAGTTTCTATCATCTAAATATAGCTTTACCCTGAAGTTCAATAGCTTTGTGGGTAACAGTCTCATTTTTAATCACTTTACTTTGACAGCATGTACTTGAAGCGAGGTGAAGCTGAAAATTTATGTTTCTTTTCCCCTCTCTGAGCAATATTTAGATGTATCAGAGTCTCTTCTCAAAATATGTCTTTAATAGAGAGAAAGATATCATGTCTTGTGTTCGACTGGAGTGAGAGTGGTAGGAGGACATTTGAGCCCCCCTTGCTGGTAGAGCTCCCTTGGCAAGGTAGAATTTGTCCTCTGCCTCTGCTAACTCTCAGTGCTGTCAGGCACTTCATCGCCTGCAGATGCAATTCTAATGCTGCCCCTCACCCATCTAAGTGATTATTGTGACGGTTCCACCCTAAAACCCTTCTCTTGCAGAATCAAGATCACTCTGAGGCATGACACAAAGTATATTAATATTTCACTTGGGAAAGGGGAAGTGTTTATTACCTGGGGAGAATATTAGAAAGGTCAAGCATGAGACTTGGAGACTTCAGCACAAGAAATCTTACAGAAGGGGCTTGAAAACTGCATGATGTTCCGTTTCATGCCTGCTACGGCTGTTTTTTTTGCAGTTCAAAAAAGGTGGTGGTGGTGGGTGGTGAGTTCCAGTAAGTAGAACTTTATTGCCTGGTCTGGGAACAAAATGCATAAGGAACTGTTGGTAGCACAAAATGTGATGATTAAACAGTAACTGAATAATAATTAAGCAATAAATTACAGATCACAATAATTTTTAAAATTGCCTCTTGACATTTGGCTTTTCAAATATTTGAAATACTAAAATAATCTCTCAGAGAACCTTTCTGTTTGTAAGAGGAATGTGATGCAAAGATCCAAGTATGTATTGTTATAGTTCATTTTGTAAATGGGAGTCTCTGGGTGGGTTGTTTCCTGTAAATACAGAGCTGACTAGTTGGTTGATGCCTATGTGAGCAGTGCTCCTTTCTATTTATTTGTTTTTTATATATATGTAAAAAGTACTTGTTCTTTCCAGGGTAGTTCAATGCATTTGTGTAATAACTCATGCTTTAATTGAAAATCATTTCCTGTAAAGTTTGTTGGCCAGATAATTTTTTTTATGAAATGCTTGGATTAATCTAACACTTAGCCCTCCTTGTATGATAAAGCAGTTTATATTATGAGTTGTTAGTGTAGATGAACTGATCAGTGCCTACAACTTTGTAACATTTGCTCACAGTGCAAGAGGAGGAACACAGATATAGTATTTAAAGTATCTATTAATTGATCTTGACTTTTTTTGCAAGTGTGACAAATATGGGAGATATGAACATATGGGAGAGTTAGATGTTTCATGCAGTGCGTGATCTGTGATAGATTACATGTTACTGCTGTATTACAAAGTAAAATCAGTGTATTTCTTAGTAGCAATTTCAAAGAGCTGTGTTCCCTGAAAGGAGGGATCCATAGAAGTCCAAAATGTGAGGAAGCAAGTTCAGTGTGTGAGCTTTATAAGTAATAACGTGCCTGTTCTTTTGTAATCCTCTTTAGT